ATTAAGAGATAACGCGTATGAAACAGGTCATCGGAATAAGAAAGGAATGTAAATTTAGCTGATGAACAAATTTAGACCATCTTACCAAATCCTCTTGGTAAATACGAAACTATCTGCCCTTTAGCTTGGTAATTGTATTCTAAAACATCCTTTTAACGGATTTTAAAGTTTCTTAAAATTACTGATATATATATGCATTGTCCTCAACAGGGAAAACATTGTGTACTGAACAGGATATTGAGATTTCACTTCTTTTCCTGATAGAATCGTAACCATGATATTTTCTGTTTTTAAATAGCATGAGTATTAGTTTCATGACGTAAGGTGGCGGTGATTACCAAATCATGATTTTCATAATTTGTACGGCCGTATGACAGAAAATATATTTTGAACTTGTGATTTGTTTTGTTTGGTAGCAATTCCACTACAATCCCAACCTGTAATGTTTACATGTCGCATTTTGTTCGATATCCAAAGCCTTTCTCCCAATATCATTATTTTCGTGTCAGATGACGGTAACTGCCAAACTCGCAACACAGGACTTCGGGAGATGCGGGTTGATGAAAATTACTTGGAAATTGTATGGTCGACATAATGATCTCACTTGGAAACGTGTTGTTTCCTTGTGATATACGAAGTTAGGCGTGTCTGTTACTAGGTAGTATGTCTGGTGGTTGTTTTTTCGGAAGTCCTCGGTGAAGAGGAAGATGCTTTATGTTCCGGAATACTCTGTCATTTTTTTTCTGGAGTCTCCCATGTAAATATTTCGTTTGTGTTTATTTTCCCCTTGAATTGTTTAATTTGAAATTTTGTTGGTAAGTCTTTTTTCCAAAGAATTATTTTCTTCTTATTATGCAAAGTTCTTATGGTCACGTTATGTCAATTTTGAAAATTGTAGAATGGTTTTGAATTATATGTTGATTTTGTTTCCAGAGCCGACACAGGAACTGTATATTGTGCTTCTCGTGAAACTTTGGCTCGCAACACACATTTGTCACTTAATAGACTTAATACCTGTCAACTGGTAGGGAAAACGTTACCCAAATGGATTCAAAACCATGATTCGATCTCTTTCAATGGGTCAAAGAAACGTTTGACACGCCAGTCTGTGACATGTACTACTCCGAAAGTATACCTCATGCAATGATTTTTTTATCATTCCGGGTTTAGTTTTTATTAGAAATAAATAAGAAAAAAAAAAACGAAAATCAAATAAAGCGAAAATCAGAGAGTAAATTTACGTTGTTCATAACACCGCATAGACAATTGATATTTCACGATCAGCTAACTGGACATCTTTGATAACAAGACAATTTTATTTTGGTCATAGCCTGGTAAATGTCTCTGATAAGAAGCAATTGTTCTGGTTTGTGCTTTGAGTTCCTTTCGTGTTCACATTAAAGTGAGGGAGAGGAAGGTCATTTGTTAAACTGTAGAACTGAGTTAAATTGAATACATGTAACAGGTAGCATCTGTAATCATGGTCACGTCAGCGCTTAAAACAAACAATTCGAACATTCGCTATCTCTCTGCATTGCATGTTTTCAATAATTACAAAAGGTAGGACGTTGATGAGTTAAAATGACCTTCATAGAAATAAAAAGCCCATTTCGTGACACTCTGATATCCAAAATGGCAAAGTTTAGTCACAATCAGCGAGACGTGATTATGGAATAGCAACAAATGGTCTAAATAGCATCTAGCTTAGTGTTCGAGCTTAGGAATTTCGTTTAATGGGAGATAACTCTTTGATAACGGTGTGTTTGTATCACAGACAACAACCGTAAACGTATTATAACTGTACCCCTGGTAAACTACTAGCCGCAATATACCACTCGGGAGGCATTGAGATGAAAAATTACCTCTGTTACATAAACGTATATTTCCAGATTAACACATTACAAGGGACATGTTAAGTTAATAGGAATCACATGGTTCCCTTCTAGTTTTAAATTTGAGTGATAAAATACCACGCTGAATAGAGTTTTTTTTTTTTCTTTTAATCTTATTTATGTTCAATTCATCATCAGATAAACTATACATTGTCCACTACTGATGATGTATGTGTGTGTAAATTTTCGGCCTCGGTAATAAAATACGTACCAGTTTATATGACGACATTATTATATATGTACGTCATGATATGTCATACATCATAGTACATCAAATAACAGAAAACAAAACAGGGCAATATCTAAAATAGTTTATTACGGACATCATCATTAGTGTGTATAAGTTAATATCACAAGCTTCTTATAGTCAATATCAAGTTATGTGTAGGACTGTTCACAGTATGATCTACCCAAAAACGTTATAGCGACAAATCCCTTAAATTACATATCATTGTTTGGGGGGCGGATTGGGTTGTGGGCGTGAAATTCATCTAAGATAAACACATTCCCTGATTTGTATAGAAGATGCATAAGAAATCAACATATCGCTTTTCTGTGTAAGACCGATACGCAGTACCTCTCATAACGTATAAACTCTCAATCTGTAATATCTTGTCTTAAGCTACAGTGTTTTAAAGACGAGTTAAGCACTTTTCTAGTGCTCAAGATTACGTAAAACCAGCGATTGCAAGAGTCATCCTTATTTTTAGAAAATATGGCTAAGAACTATTGCATTATGTAAGCTTTGCTGAAAGATATTTCTCATCAGTCTATCCCACGAGTCCTTACGATGATATATCTCCAGGGGTTCCTTGCTACTAAACATTACGCACGTATCTTCAATGGTTTTTTTCCATACATTCACTATAAACAAAATAATGACTAAACCATTCTACCACGAGGTCAAAGTTGAAGCTTTTTTGTTATGAAATGTTATGAACAATATTCGGCGATTAAAAGTATTTCCCGAGATTGATAATTTGAATTAAAGTCGTTTAAATGTATGCACTGTGAAGAAACCGAAAGACAAAGAATACCAATGGAAATCAGTTGTGTCCCTGTTTTGGTTTCACTTTCTTTATTTTCCAAATCAATGAATTATCTTGTCGAGTCTTGTATCAAAGACACTGGTGTTAGCGAAGTAACTTGCATTCATTGTAATGTTAATAACTACTCTATAGATTTATTTGAACCTGAACATCGGCAGTTTTTTAATTTGATTATCAAAACACGTTGAAAATAACAGTCAAAGTGTAGGAAACTTGAATGTCTTTCCGGAGCAGTGATATCTGACACATCAGAGGCAGCACCAAATTAATTACTGTACATTGCTCGAGATATGCATCATTTGGTCAAACTTTGTCGTCGTTTTAGATAAATTCAACTCTGAATTTCAAAAAAGCCTTTGTGTTTGTTCGTTCCTTGATAAAATGCCACAAATTACACATATTCCATGTTTGAAAATGTTAATATGAATATAATGTGTTAATTTTTAATAAAGGCTCAAAATTAAGTTAGCACTTATTTTGGTCTCGTTGAATGCGTATCAGATCCAAGGTTACAAAATCTGTATTTCTATAAAAAAAAATCATAACATTTCCTAGAACTACAGTGATCGTTCTCAAAATCAACAGCACATATTTCACAGTCAAAGGAGATAACGTGTTTCCGTATCACTTCCGCATCTGGCAAGGTTCCATCACTTAAACTAAAACTTCAATCACATGAGCTTTATTGATACAATGTATGTCGTAGGTATCAAAATTGTTAACCCATGGTAAACAAACTAACCACACACCAATCTAGTACACATTGATCAAAATGAAATTGTATCATCAGAGATAAATTACTGTTATAAAATGTCACGATGTTCAGCAGTGGTTTACAACCATATCATATAACATCAACTATCAACACGACAAAAGAAAACGATGAAACTGATGCGATACACGAAATACCATAGCTGAATTCAATTTAGAATTGTTTGCCAACATAAAATTCACCTCAGGGACACCGTTGTAGAGAAAACATCATTTTATTTTTATGGAAACCAAGTTTTTCTAAGGATACTGGGTAGTAGAAACGGGGACCAGCAAGGTTGACTACTGCGATAAGTTTTCTTAGACTTGAGCAGATGCTCCAATATTTATAACCTCCATATTCGCTACAAGATTCTATTTCAATCGCCCATAATACTACAACTCCACAATAAACGTTTTCCCTTACTTTATACCTGTTTTTAAATGGATAAGCACATGAATGGTAATTCGAAGAATGTACAGGAACGTAGAAACGTCGCTTAATTCCATGACAATAAACTTCAACGAATGTTTATATTTTGCTTTATCTGTAGAAAATTAAAAATCGCATCATTATTTTCAAGGTATTTGCTACATTTTGTTAATTACTCATTTTTATCCAGTTAAAAAAACAAGAAGTTCCCACCTTCCTTAAATCAAGTTCAGTTCATGAAATATCTTGATTAGCTTCAGGAATATTTCATTTTCTGAATTTTATATTTTCACAACATTTTCAAGTGTAGTATTGTTATGTCAAAATAAGCTTTGTATACAGTCCTGCAGGGTAAAACGTTTCTTTAACAAGGCATGGTGATGTAGAACACATACACAAAATCTCTTCACGGCAATAGCACATCTTACCTCGACCTCAAACAGTGGTAACCTTACAACATACACACTTCTATCGGTCAGAACGATCACACGATCATTTTTATCAAGCAGATATGATTTAAAGTAAAAATATTCAACAACATCAAATCACATGATTAGTTACGTGCATGAGACTGAATTATCACCAAGGAAACTTTATGAAATGAATATATACAGAGACTTTCTGCAGTAGCTATGAACTTTCGGCTAAGCTTTGCTTCAACAGTACTAGTTGTGGAATGTACTCATGGCGGTAAACACCTGCATATCTAACAACAAACCATGTAAAACAGTAAACAATTAATGATCTCACATTAGCACACACTTGATGAACGGAATATACAAGTGGTCATAATTCCTCAATGATAACACTCAAATCTATCCATCACAGTTTTTTTTAAACAAAGGTAAACTATCAAATACAGTTTAGTATTGACTATCAAGCATGAGAATCCACTATTTTCAGTTCTAATTCTTTATGTTCGGGTAAAGATTCTAACTTATTTCCAGAAATATTTTCGGTTTTCATTTGATCATATAAAGGATTGGCGAATGCGTGAGACGAATCGTGCTGCCCAGCACTGGGTTTTGTGTAGACAGCGTCGCCATTGCTAGACAATGTGACGTTATTGTCCTTATGTGTATCTGCGTGGTAACCATTCGCGGACGGTTGTACATTAACGTCGTACATTTGATTTCTCATGGCTAAACTGCCATCCTGTGAATGCTCAATTATATCGTCATGGAAACGTTCGTGAGGAACTTTAGCTTTCCGTAACTTTCTGATTTTTACAAAGCACACTGTCGCTACTATAGTTATGGTGAGGATGACAACAATCACCACTACAAACGCGGCTATGGCACCGCCTGATACTTCTGAAACTCCGGATTTTTGTAAGCCTACCGTCAAGTTGGAACTCATGGTAGTGTTAATGGTAGTTACAGCGGTAGGTTTATTCGTGGTCTTGCTGGTACTGGAAATACTCGAGGATTGACGTGTGGTAGTTTTAGTAGTCGTGGTGCTGGTCGTGGTAGACGATGTAGTGGTAGGTTTAGGTGTTGTGGTAGTGACGGTAAGTGTTGTAGTAAGAGACGTATACGTTGGCCTTAGTGTTGTCCTGGTCGTTGTCCTTGTTGTTGTAGGCTTTCTTGTTGTTGCTGTTGTTGTTTTTGATGGGGTCGTTGTTGTCGTGGGTAATGGTTTCGTTGTGGTCATTGATGTTATAGGTGAAGGACTCAAAGTGGTCGGCGGGTAATCTGAAACAACATAATTATCTAGTTTAGAGATGTACGTAAAATGTTAAAAAAAACAAGAGTTCCTTTGAACTGTATATGTCGCCTGCATAAAGTGTCACGGTCACCCAGAATTCGAACTGGATGTCAAAACTAATCTGTACCCTTCCAACAAGAAGCCATATACCAAATTTCATTTTAATAACTCAAAGGATAACCCAAAAGTCCGGAAAATAATATTTCCAGAGAATTTTCTAAGTACAAAGGGGCATTTCTCTGCCGAGAAGGGCCACAGACAGCCGGAAATCGAACTTTATATGTACCCCTCCAATAACAAGCTATATACTAAATTTCATTTTGATAACTCAAGGCATGACCGAAAAAATTTCGGAAAACGCGTGACGACGAACAGAGTGATCCCTAAGTGTTCGCCAGCTCTGCAGGCGACACAAAATGACTGTATGGTTCTCAATTCTTAAATAGGAAAAGTTAGCGTCGATAACCTGGTATATATATATACTATTTTTAATCGCTATAGTTGTAAATAATTAATTTGAGCTGTGTTCTATAACATTTGTCTTATATATTTGATCATAAAACGAATAATTGACCTTTGATGATCAGTACTGACCATATTGAAAATCACAAATGAAATTACGTCATTGCAAAGTAAATTAAACTATTAAAGATAATGATCGCTAATTATAAAGCACACACCCCAGCACATGACACCGACATCTTCAGTGTGATTACAGTTGTGTGTTCCAATTCCTCGATGGCTGCATTCAAATATGGAGCTCTCGTTTCCTAGGCAACGAACGTTGTCGAACCAGATCGGACCCGTCCCCCGTCCGAATGCAGCATCTTTTACAGCCTTTCCTCCAGCGAAATTGAGCTGCCTACATACGACACTAGCCGCTAGGTCGTCCCAGAAGTCATCACAGATAGTGCCCCACTGGTTAGGTCCTTTTATAAAAACTTCTACTCGGCCAGACAGGCTATCTTTGCCCCCAATCAGATGGACTTTAGTTGGTACTATGGATGTAAATACAAATATATCGAAGATGAGTCTTAGATATTTGACGTTTCCTAAATTTCCTATATGGTTTCTACATGTTTGTCCCTAGCATCAATAAAATGTCCTACAACATTAAGTCGTACGATGCTGGAGTTTTAATAGTTATTAGGCGTATACTCAAATCTGTTGTTACTCTTAAGGTTGCCATTTTAGAGAGATTCCATATTGTATTTCTCCCTATTTTCGAAGATGAATAATTTGCCTCAAATACAAACACTGGAACCTTTATTACGTTTCATAATGTCCATGAACAACACTACATTCATATTACTTTTTGTTCTTCAAACTTTTGGTAAATCGTGAAAACCAAATAATTGAAAAAAACTTTTACTTTTCAGCGCTTTATGCTAATGGTTTAAGTTGCTATTAACTTGTCTTATGCACTATTTTGGCTTACAATGTCATCTTATACAAAGCAACACCTCAAAAATGTATCAGTGTCTAACACACACAGAGACAATATTATGGAAGCTGAAAGAACAAATTACAGAAAAATAGAAACAAGAAGAATATCATTAAATGAGCGAAAAAAAATCGTCTTTTGTAAACATATATAATAATATGAAATAATTTAGGTCTTACAATGTATGATAAATAGTTATGTGTACTTACCGACCGTCTCGTTGTAACAGGCGGAGTATGCCCCAGGTTCGTTAAACATACACAGATCATCAAGAAACGATGAATTGAATCCAGTATTAAGACACGTCATCATTGTCTTCTCATTGCCCTGACAAAAGAAGCCGGTCACCCAGCGATTGATCTTGGGTAGGGATTTTTCTACATTGTAGCTAACGATACCGTCTTGGTAACCGAGCTGACGACACAATACTTTTGCATCAGCCGACTGCCATGACCAGGAGCATACTGTGCCCCAAACACCATCATAGAATATCTCTACGCGACCCTCTGATGACGGCTGCTGTTTACGAGTATTCAATCGGTACTTCATACCTGTTTGCAGTGAAGAAATTTGAATAATGCTTTTGTAAAATAAGACTTAATAATATTGGTTTTGTTAAAGAATGGTGTAAATTGCTATGTAACAGGGCTTTTGAATACACAAGGTAAGTTTTTTTTATTTTTATATCATATTTGCCTTTACACTTTATTAAGCAAACATTCTTATCCACATGTTGTATATGTATTTTTCAGTATGTCATATGACCATTAGTACAAACTCAAACGTCGTATAGGAAGATTTAATAAATATTTAAACAAACAAAAGTTTATAAGTTGTTAGAATCATGTGTGATCAATTCCACGTTGATTTGGAAAAATCCCCAAATAAAGCTTTTGCAAATTTCCATACTAACCTGATTTTTTGTAACACAAAATACCCGCGTCGTTAGAATTGAAGTTACAGTTGTCGAGATCTGGGTGTGGGTTGTGGGGGCAGTCCGTTAGTCTGTCCTCACTACCACTACATCGAACACTTCGCAGCATAATTGGGCGCCGGTTCTTCATGATGTGTAAGTATGCCAGACCTCCGGCATACCCCTGGTGTTTGCAAGCGACATTTGCGTCTCTGTCGTCCCATTCATGCATGCACACTCGCCCCCAGATTCCATTTTGTCGGACCTCGAGAATACCGTGCACCTGACTAGAAAGACTGTCAGGGGCGATCCGAACCTTAAAACCTGTAACGAAATTAAAATTTAGTCCCACTAAAATATCAAAAGTTTAATATTTTTACTCTCATTGACGGTATTTCTACTGTGTGCATTTTTTGAAAAAATCTAATTAATTGCCTTGTGTCTGTAAAACGGACTTTTATCTACAGAATCATAAATTTATGAAAAGCCTAGATAACGATGTTGTTGAAGCATGCCACATACCTGTGTCAATGACCGTTGTGTTACTGCAGTACACGGAAGCGTACATATTACTGCTGCACGTGCCATTGAACTTGCTAAAGCACTTTGTGATGTCGGTTTCTCCTGGACGACACTTCATGTTTGTAAATCCGATGCGTCCTGTCAGGTTACCGAACGCCGACCCGTTTATTGCACGCCCATCGACGTAATTTAAGCCAAGACTGAGGCAGGCGACTTTAGCTTCGAAGTTGGTGAACCCCTCATCACATACACCGTACCACTCTCCGTCTCGATAAATTTCAAGACCACCCATTCGGGAGTTGTAGCCTTCATTTAGACGCACTGAAACACGACATGAAGAGACATATGTAGTGCACCATTCTCTTACACAGACGTACTTGAACCTGTTCTAGCATTACCAGATATAAACAAATACATTGTCTGTCTTTTGAATAATAGTATAAACAACATATATACATGTGTTTGAGATCTACTGACCGTTCTGATAACAGAAAACTGAAGCGTCGTCCCTGTGAGAGTCACAAATGACAGGAAGCAGCCAGCTGGCCTCGGTGAACTGGTCGTTGAAACCCCTGTGTGGACAATTGTGAAGATTATTCTCTTTGCCAGTACACTGAACATGACTCAACCAGATGGCGCCCTTGCCCATCCCGTAAGCTGCCCCGGCTATGGCCACTCCCTCCGTGAAGTTAAGTTGTCGACAAAGTACGTTAGCTTCACGATTATCCCAATAAGCATCACATACTGTTCCCCATGTGTTGTCTATTGCGATCTCTACACGCCCGTAGTTCTTCCCACCACCACTTAAGCGGTACGAAAGACCTGTGAAGCAAACATCGAAATTGTAAAACTATCTTATTAGATATTTGAATATATAAGATTCTTACAATTTTTATTTACCAGAAAAATAAAGATCACATTTCATAGCTTTTATATCGTATTCTTCAATCCATGTGACAGATTTAATTATATAGAATACTGACCAGTTTCGTTGTAGCAGAGAACAGACGCTATGTGTGACGTGGTACAGTTGCCTAGAGTTAACTGTGTATTGTGTGGACAGCTTAGTAAGGACGCCTCGTTTCCGGTACAGTTGAAACCACTGAGCCAATACGGACCCCTCATGGATTCCATTACAGAGTTCTCGTCATGGAGGTATGCAATGCCGGACTGGAAACCTTGACGACGGCATATTACTTTGGCGTCGTTATCGTCCCAGTCTAAACCACAGATGCGACCTTGAACCCCGAAGTGATCCACCAATATCTGTCCTTTACTCTTGTCCTCTAACTTAAACTTGTAGCTCCCTGTCATATTAGAGGTCAATTATCTTGTGAGCATTTCATACTTTAAGCGTTTCAATTATACCAATGAAAATATTATACACACTGCAAATATTTTATATTGATTAATTTCATGTTTTCAAACAAACATACCTTCGTCCATCCTCCCCGCCTCCTCTTTGTGGAAGCAGACGACAGATGCATATTGTTCGCTGTCACATTTCTCCTCTCTAAGACATTCTGGGACAGACCTTTCCTGTCCGGAGCATCGCAATGTGAAGTTGGTTTGAACTGGTTCCGTTGTTCGTCCGTATGCGGAGCAACACATAGCACGTCCATCTGTGTATCCCAGTTCCTGGCAGACAAGACGTGCAGACTGATCGTTGAAACCCGTGTCACATACACGGAGCCAAGTGTTATTCCGATAAAGCATGACTGCGCCCGTATGAGCCAGCTTCCCAAATCCGTTTGATAATTTCACTGTAAAACGTACATTGCATTTCAGTATATATAAGTAGCAAAGAAATCGCATTAGTTATATGTTGAAGGTTATTTATTTGAACCAAAATATAATGTTATCAATACCGGAATACAACAAAGTGTTTCTTACCGTTTGTATAACAGAATACGCCTGCATCATCTTTGTGACTAAGACAGGACTGTGATTGGCTGACCATCCAGCCCTCGTGCGAACACTTATTAAGACTGTCCTCCCTCCCACGACAACGGAAATTGGCTTCCCATACTGTGCCTGTTGCCATGGTATTGTAAGGTCCATATCGCGGATCGCCTGTACTGTAACCTAGCTGTCGACAGAAGACATCGGCCTCTCGTCGATCCCAGTATCGACCACATATTGTGCCCCATTGGCCTCGTACAGACACGTTTATGTAACCGTACCTGTTGTCACCGCCCATCAATTTGTAATATATACCTGTAATGTTATGGAATAGATCCACGTGATGATAAAACTATACATTTTGGGCTTCCCTCTTTTTAGGAAAACCTAAAAAGTTAAATAACTTAAATTTCAGAAAATATTCAGGAACTATACAGATTAACTTATTACGTTAAAGGTTGCAGGGAAATCAAAACGCTACAGTAACATAATCCATCAAAGGATTTGCATATGGAAAGCCTGTATCTACCAATTATGTTTTGTAATAATGAAAAATAAATGAAAACCCCTTTCTATCTATGAAGATAAGATATATATGCAATGATTATAAACATGCTAGATGTTCGCAATATTATTTTTATGCTTCTCGAAAATTTTTGGGGGAGCAAATTGGCGAAGCCTTGTTTTCTTTATTATCGCTACATCGGATGTCTCTTTGAGAACGTTACATCACATAGATTTAATCTAGATTGTCTGCGGATTAATTCCTAATGATTTCCTTTCCTTTCATTTGCATTTACTTCATTACGAATTGCAGATGAAAACATTTAATAATCTTGTCTTTGATTGAAATATCAAACATTTACCATCATTGTTGTAGCAGAGGACACCAGCATAGGAGTTATTCATGCAGGATTTGACCTTGCCAAATCCTACATGAGAGCATTCGGACAGGCGAGACTCGTTCCCAACACAGTTGACGTTGGATGTCCAGTAGGGACCGCTGTACTCAAAGAAGACTAAGTCCGACTTGTAGTGGTGGTATGCCATGCCATTAGGGTATCCTAGTTCGTGACACACTACCCTAGCGTCGGCATCGTCCCATTCGTCTACACAGATCCGCCCTTCAACTCCCAAGTAAGTAAGGTTTACCTGGCCTGTGTATGAGGAACGACCAACCAGCTGCAAGGAGTAGTCTACAAAGGCCAAGAATCATATTCAGCATAAAAGAACTTCAGACATTGTGATCAAGCGTTTACTAGAATCAGATCACGAGCGCCAAGTACTTAAAAATGTATCAAAATATGTCCGGCACGTATGTTTATTCTAGGGAACTGATAAACGATAGTATAAAATGTTTTTTTTCAGATTCCATGCCCAATGTTCGTAAAGACGGGTTACCCGACTCACCTTCAGTCCTTGTTCCATTGTAACACACAATGGATGTATAATCTTGCGAATGACATCCAGTCTCCCGATATACCTCGGTCTTGTTACACTCTGTAATGTGATTTTCGCTGCCGTCACAATTGAACCGACCGACGACAGCGTTTCGGAAGCTGTACCCGTAAGGTGTACAACACAAGGGAAGACCATGCTGGAAGTTATGTAAACTCCGACAAGCCACGTCTACAAGAAAATATGTTAACTCAATGTTAGGTATGATGTTTATAGGACTTTGTGTTTTCTTTTGGATATTCTATGATAGATTAATACAACAGAATTGGTGTATATTTATTCTCTGCCCAGCTTACCTGCTTCTGTTTGGTGAAACCCACTCGCACACACAGTACCCCAGGACCCTTGAAGGTACACCTCCAAAATACCGTTGTTTTTGTAGTTGCCTCGATTTAATCTCACTGTAGATACATAATAAATTAAACAGATTACAATAAGCAAGATTCAGTATTATACTGAATTTATTCCATAATTCCAGTCGTGTATTCCTGCCTGCTACAAGTTTTCAAAAATTAAACAACAGCATTCAAAGTTTTATGCCAACGACATGAGTCTTTTAGTCAACGATAAAACAAATCAAATTAATAAAAAAGAGTCCGCGATAGAGTTGATTCAAAATTATTATTTGCAGTCGTTTTCAGCAAGTTTAAACTTCCGCGTTGACTCTTAAATATAATCATAATGTTTCTTCAAATGCAAAATCGAAAGAAATCCAATGATCTGCCAAATAGTCATGTGTATATTTTTCATGGTTTTTTATTCCTTATTTTTCAAAGATTGAGTAGATTGAAAGATGAAATGATAAAACCATAGTGACGTGCATTACCTCTATGAAAATATATCATGGCTTTTAAAGATTTTGGGAAGATCGTAGAAATTTGAACAATCGAAAAATGACTTTATTGAGTATTCGACATGCACTTTTCTTTCTTTATTTATTCGTCAACAAAACATACATTATTTTTTTTTTTTTTTTTTTTACAATTTCAGTTCTTGATTCAAGAACGCTTGTCAGCAATGTTTTGTATCGATGTTCTATTAAGACTATTATATGGTCAAACATGTTCTTATTATGTTAACTGACATCTCGGATTATGATGTGACATTTTTTCACCTCTTTTATTTACGAACATAACGACTGCATTGCCCACGTGCCTACCTGACTTAAAACATGCGACCCCAGCATCAGTCCCGTGAGAACAGTATCTGGTGTGAGACAGACCCCACGATGCCCTGCAGTTGAGGAAGTTCGTTTCGTTGCCATGACAGCCGACATTCGTCATCCATATGCTTACATCATGTGCCGCATCTCGTCTAGGGCGAACCTCCATGCCTCCGACGTAGTCGGGGATCTGTCGACAGAATACATCAGCATCCCGGTCGTCCCATAGCCTATCACATATAGAACCCCACTGACCATTGATCAACAGTTCCGCCCTGCCACTTCCGTCCACCTCGTCACCGATCCGGAATTGGACTCCAGCTACAATCAACAAATAAGTGGTCTTAGACGTCGGCGTAACTCGGAAAACGCATTATTTTTATATTATTTTGTTCTTAAACTTTAACCTAATAAGTTCACAATTTAAACGTGTATTCCGAAGTAGTCATTGATTAAAAATACAAACCATCATCTTTGGAACACACAACAGCTGCCCGAGTATTGCGCCCATTGCAATTGTGACTATCTCTGAATGAAGCCATTTGACAGTCTTGAAGTCTTTTCTCTGTGCCGTTGCAGTGAACACTACCTAAAATCGTGGGTATGCCATCACTCATCGCCGTCCTGGTGGCGTTACCGTTCCTGAAACCCAGCTCTCTACAAACAACCGTGGCGTCTTCGTGATCCCAATCCGTATCACACACGGACCCCCAGATACCATACCGTTGTACCTCCACGGAGCCGTAAAATAAGGAGTCCGGGACACGCACCGCCATGTCTGCATAGAAAAACAGGGGGAAATGATGTTGGCGTTTCCGAAGATTGTACAAAAGACACACAACCACAAATAACCGAAACATCGCCATTTCAGTGTGTGTTTTAATTCAAATATTATAGAAATTGTATACAAAGTGTATAGATATTTATTTTACCTAATGTAAACATTATTGTTCTTGGATTATATCCAAATTATATATTATACGTGTGCCATATCTTACTACTATTCTTAATGTATTTGGGTAAAGCAATCGGTATTCAGAGCACTTCATATTGAAATCAGCCAGAGCAAAATATTCAAAGAAATATTTAAAAATGAAACGTGTTGGAGGCTGAGATACTGTCTGTTATTACGTCTATTCAACTCTTCAACTAAATCATGTGCCCTTTCTGTTATTATAGATTTATCGCTGAGACGGAAAGAGATTGTTCCGCTTATGATCTTTTCTTGTTTCTCTTATGTTTAAAGAAATCTTGATTCAGACTAATATGATAAGCAATGGCGTATTGAATTAATGGACATTTCCGTACCGTAGCTCGTGATATCATCATCGAGACAGGCAAGGGTCACGTAATGACCTGTCTCACAAGTTCTATATTCATGTCGACAGTCGCTGAACTTCCGGTTTTCCAATATACAGTCCACGCCAGAAATGCCTATAGGCCTTGCAGTCAAAAACTTGCTACCGAGTGCAGAGCAACATTGCGCATGCCCATCTTGATACCCCATTGACTGACAGGCTATTCGAGCATCCAAATCATTAAAATTCTTGTCACATACGGAGTACCAGCCTGTTCCATTATAGAATTGTAGCTGGCCGTAGTTGGAGAGCTTGGCCGCTCCGGACAGGCGCACTGTACAGGACGAGCAAATAGCATCAGGCATGGACAAACAAAATTTCTTTAAAAGAGCGTTACATTTGCTAAGTGGATTATAAAAATTGAAGAACAGTCTGAAGGAAGTGATAAATAAACCATTAATTAAGTGATGTTTTCTGTTAAAGTCGTCTCCCTAATATTAATGTACCACCGACGTGGCTGTGATGCGGACGGTTTCCCACTTCTATTTGATCACATCGAAATATGAATGCATTCAGTGATACAAGAATGGATTTTGTACTACTCTAAAGAACAATTTACATTTGAACAGAGTATACTTTGCAAGGTGTATACAGATATGGACCTACACGTTGTGACTATGGGTACCGGAGGAGCAATTTACAATATACATTCCTCACTCTAGCGAGAATCGAACACGAGAAACAAATCAGCACCTGGTTAGTCACCGTCTTTCCTTAATACAAATTGTAATTGAAAACTATTTTTTCAAATAATAAAGTCATGTTTATAAAAACTGAAATACGTATATTCCGCTTTTGTATTTTCTATTTATTTCGAGATTTTTCTCCACAGTTTACTGATTCCGGTTTTCTGGCGTTCAAAATAAGGCAACACATATGTGAAGGGAGGTAATTATGTCAAATTTCTTCTCTTAATTCAAATATCTTAGCTTACAATATTATCTGATATGTAGAATAACCATGACAGGATGAGGAAAGGGAATCAAAATACAAATGAAGATTTAAAGAAGGAAGTTACATACAATTTTGTAACATGACATGAGTAAATGTGATATTTTTCTAATAGATATCAATAACTATCTGTATGAATCACACATATGATCTGACAATAAATCTTAAAGTATTTGTTAACCATGTAATAACTTAAACGTGGAAATATCAGTTTGACGTAAAACTTTCGATGACTTTTGAAGAATAATATTTAGGCAAGTGGTATTTACACGTTTGTTAAAAAGAGCCTTTCAATACCAACCGTTACTGTAACATTTGATGCTGACATCATGTTTGTGTGATGAGCATGTTCGTCCCGGATCCTCACCCAAAGACTCGACCATACATTCATAAATGGAAGACTCGTTTCCCATACATGATATAGCACCTATCCATACTGGTCCTTCATCAGGAGACGGGCTGGAGGTTAGATACACACCGTAAGTGTAACCCATCTGACGACATAGTACCGTGGCCTCTGAATTACCAACTGACCAGGCGCACATTGTTCCCCACGTGCCGTTTATCTTGACCTTGACCAGTCCCTCCGATGGTGTTTTACCTCCAACCAAGTCAATATCACGACCAACACTTTCTGAAAATGACATTCAAACGAACAAATGAAATTGGGCATGCACGAAATTTCAATAGAAAATATTTGCCATTTGAAATAAAACTATACGTATTGGCTAAATAGAATCAGCATGAATGACTGACGCTGAAGAATAAAGAAGATACATTATTGTAATTGCAGAAATGATTGTACCTTTATCTACATAGCAGAACACCGCAGCAAACTTCAGTTGCGAACATTTGCCGATATTGCCCCAGTCAAGGTTGCCACACTGGCCCAAGTGTGATTCGGTCCCGTTGCAGGTAAGATTTCTCAACCATCGGATGTCCTTGCTGAAAAGAACCCACTTTTCCTTGTTTTTAGCCACGTAGCTAAATCCACCTAAATACCCAGCCTGCTTACAAATAACATTGGCGTCATTATCGTCAAAACCTTCAGCACAGATATAACCGTCATGGTCAAAGTATCTGACCTGTACACGTCCAAAGTGGTCATTCTCAAGTGACAGACCATAACCTGGAAATATGGAAAGTTATTAGATAAGTATAAGTAACAAGACCACTTCAGTATATTAATTGGTAAATATATCCTAACCTTACTTAGTGCTTCCAAACAAAAAACAATTCTATTTCCGTTTTGGTTATAATTAGTTATAATTATTCGGATGAATTCAACAAACACCTTTATCCACAATGTCGAAAGTACACCTTTTTAAAATTATACAATGTATTAGAAGTATTTAGTGTATACGATGTTGCAGAAAATGTGAATCAGTTTATTACCTAATGAAGGCGTTTTGTCCGAGCATACAACAGATGCGTATGTACCGCTCTCGCAGAAGCCGATACCCTTGTCTGAGGGACAGTCCGCTAAACTGGCCTCTCGACCAGTGCATTGTACGTTAGTCTTAGCCAGCATGAAATCCACGTTCCCGAATGCCGAGCAGCATAGACTGACTCCGACACCATAACCCATGTCCCGACATGCCACTGTGGCATCAAGGTCATCAAATCCGTCACTACACACCATACCGTAGGAACTCTTAGACCAAACCTGGACTCCGCCGTAATCCTCCCCTCCTCCGCTGCTCACTAAGTTAAATACACAATCAATTAAATAGGGGAAACAATTGTTTGTCATACTGATAATTATCATTTATCTTTTCTAACAAATTTGATCAAGGACCATTTCGATAGAACAATTTTCAAATGTCAGAAATGCAGGGATAATAACCTTTAACAAAATTTTTAAATTCGATTACGATAATTATTTAGTTTTTTTTTTACCTGCAATCTGAAATCATTATTTTACTATGAATTATGTTGATTACTAATGAGGCGACATTTTCATTTGTCGATGAATATTACCTGGGCGGTAACAGTAGGCACTTGCGTCATGTCCGTGTTGTTTACAGTAGTATTGGGCATTATTCCAACCCCGACTAGGACACGACAATAGCGATGATTCGGAGCTATCACAGAACATCCCAGACAAATACACAGGACCTGTGCCGGGTCCGTAATATGACTGTTTAAATGACCGACCGTCAGGAAATCCAAGCTGCTTACAAAGAACCCTTGCGTCATACTTAGTCCAGTCGTAGTCACAGATTGTGCCCCATGTCCCATCGTAAGACACTTCCACACGCCCGTAGTGCCGTTTCCCATCCGCCAGTCGTATCTGTACACCTAAAATCAGACAATTTATTAAGTGATGTGGTAATAGTAGATTATCTTTAACTTCTCACACACAGTGTAGCTAGAGTTCAGATCGAAAAAAAAAATAAAACGACCATTTTCGAAAACAAATACGAAAATAAAACTCCTTCAAAATGAACAGCTAAAATGAGCAAAGTATGAGCATGTCCTTCTATCTGATAAATTGCTATTTGCTTACACCTTTGACAGGTATAAAACTACTGCAAACACGGGGAGTTTTGTCAATATCTGCATTGTATCATTTCTCCATGTGTGACCATTAATCATAGATTCCATAAAGACAGTATCTATTAATAATTGCCATTGCAGCAGTTTACGAGAACATCATACATTACCTGTTCCATTGTAGCAGAGGACTCCTGCGTTTTTAATTGACTGTATGCAGTTAAGGGAGATAGAAGTATTGACATTACAATCACTCAGGCGTTTTTCTATACCGCTACACTTGAAGTCAGTAAACCAGACCGGCATCCCACGAGAATAAACTTCTGGGGGTCCTAACACCACACCCCCTGCATATCCGAATGACCGGCACGTGACATTTGCATCACGTTCGTCCCAGCCATCCACACAGACGGTACCATTGATACCATACCTTTCCACCATAACCATACCATGGTAACCATTCGACAAGTAAACCTTTGTACCTGAATCCAAATAAAGGGGATTATATTATACATCGTTATCTACAACAGTCTGTTCCGTTATCCGTACGGATTTGGGAGAAGACTTGTTTGAAGTATCCAATATCGGGATGCCCCTTGCTGTCCTAAAGCTTTAGTAAATACCGCCAAAATAAGATGTTATCAATCCTGGCCATAGCTGTGCCTGATAAAATTATTCTCTTCCACTTCCGGTTTCACGTCTTTTCTGATTCTGTAATCGTTTATCAAATTTCTAACCAAAAAATCCTTATTGTATGGACAGCATAATGACGGTGTTGAATACTATATATTCCTAATCATTATACACCTGCAATATACAGACTAAAACGTAATTTATGTGAAATATATTGATATACTGCTATCTAAGATTGCTTTTCTCTTGAAAAATTTCGTACAGGACCTATTTTGATTTATGTTACCTGGGTCCGCATCAGTCTTGGTACAGAGGATGCTAGCGTAGTTGTATGAAGGAGACACGCAGATTCCTTGGCTGTCACTTGAACAATCTCGAAGAGAGCTTTCTGATCCATTACACTTAGTATTCGATACGTAAGTCAGTGAGTTGATAGAACCGAACGACCCTGGTGCTAGAACTTGTGCTGAACTAAATCCGATCTCTCGACAAACTACATCTGCCTCACTCTGATGGAACCCATCTGCGCAGACGCTAACCCAGTGCGTCTTATTGGTCAGTATCATCTCGACCCTTCCAGCCAGAAATGTTAGTGTGCTCTTCCCGCCAACGATACGAACTGAAGAAAAGACACATTTTCAGTTGCGAGGTGTTAATAAAGTTTCCTGTAGGCATATACCAATTTAGAATGTTTTTTTTTCCTGAACGAAATCGCTTCTAGTGATTGTGTTCATGTTCTGATCTTTATTTGTCCATAGGAATAGTCCCCATTTACAGGTCGTGACAAACTTGATATCTTACCGTTACCAAAGCAGTAGACTCCGACCGACTGGTACCCAGCTCCACAAGTCTGTCTGTCCGGAGAACGCCATCCACTAGACAGACACTCGATAAGCGATGCCTCAGTACCAGTACAAAACACGTCGGATAGAAACACCTCACCGGTTCCCGGAGTTACTCTGAAAAATGATGATACAGAGACACAAAGTTAGACACAGAAACACCTCGCCGGTCCCCGGAGTTACTCTGGAAAATGACGATACAGAGACACAAAGTTAGACACAGAAACACCTCGCCGGTTCCCGGAGTTACTCTGGAAAATGACGATAGAGAAACATGATCCAAAGTTAGACACAGAAACACATAGCCGGTACCCGGACTCACGCTAAATCATCCTTTATCATCTACACTTCTTCAGGGAGGGTGGCTAAATTAAGGCATCATCATACACTAACGAACACGTTAATTGTCCTAAATTACAATACATTTTCAGTCACTTTTCCATTTATAGGTTGGATCAATAAACTGTACAACTATTCTAACTTTTAAAAGATAAAAGGTGATAGACACTGCTCGCGAACTGGTAGTTCCCAAGGTTTGCCGTAACCTGCATACCAAGTTTTAATATACACGTGTACTTGACATTGTTTTAAAGTCATCTGATATATCAAAATTATGAAATAGATTAAAGTACGGGACTAGTGCAACTCTACATCTAGATTTCTTACTTTTTCTCTATCAATTATGATTTTCCTTAATCGCCTCTGAAGCTAATCTGTGATGTCAACGGCATAAATTTTGAAGCCTAGGAAGCGACTGAGAAATATCCAAAGTGATTAAAATAAAAACATAAAATATAGACGTGGAGAAGTGTTAGTCCCATAATTTAATATATTTCGTAACAATTGATAATTCCAGAAGAACATCAAGTGCATGTGTATATTCTAAACCGTGCCTCTATTCCAATAAATTAAAAAGTGGCAAGCAGGTCATGGCAAACTTCAAGGACTAAACGTGCCCACAGTAGTGTCTACTACCTGCAATATCGAAGATTTACATTAGCCGCATCAGTAAACGACACATTTCAATATACGTGTAAATTAAGAGTAAGTCTAGAGCTAGATAATGAATCACATCCGTAAAAGCATACAGTCTGTACCATTCTCTTGCAAAGCTAGACTTATCTCGGACACAACGTACTCGTATGGTTCCCCGCTGACGAAACCAAGCTCCTTGCAAACTACCTCAGCTTCGTTCTGGCCCCAGCTTCTATCACACACCGTGCCCTCTTCGTCATCTATAGTTACTGCAACTCGTCCAAAGTAATGATCTCCGCCAACTAGTTTCACCTTTAAATCTGATGAAAATAACGACAGCAATGTTTTAGTGCGAAATCTACTGAAAACTGAAATCAGTTTAACACTAATTGCCATAAAACTGCCATGTGACGATACGAATATATATTCAGTTTAAGAGATAGTATGATAGGAAATGATAATACGATTATCATTGTAAGCACTCATATATCAGTTACTGCCATTCATTACAACAAAAGATCATTCATTTGGTCATATTCAATGGCGCGATGACAAGCAATGAAATAATCTGGAATTTTCATTGCTTGTAAATCAGGAATTTGAAAAAAAAATGCATTTCTTGACTGAGGAGTCGCAAAATCACATTATAAACATATCATCATTTCAATAGAAGCACGCTCCCAAATCATAGTCAATCAAACTAGGGCAAATTTTTAACAAAAGAAAGATTTATATGGAGACTCCTGAAAACAAGTACGAGGAGGACCAGGTAGTGCGGAAGAGTGAGCGTTTTCTGCCTTATGGACGACACCCTCCTAGTAAACCTTCGTCAAACCATATAAGTAATGCCATGTTCCCAAATAAGAATATTTTATACAATAACGGAAACAATAGGCAAATTAACGAGCATCAAATGCGTCCAGCTTTATCAAAGTTGTTGCAATGAAAAATGGACGTTAATTCTTACCGTACTGGTTGTAACAGACGGCCCCAGCAACCGTGTTACTGTAGCAGATTCCCGTTTCTTCCATACACTCAGTTAACGAAGACTCCGTCCCCTTGCACAGGAAGTCCGTTACTACGATTGGCACCCGCTGGTCACGGTGGTAATTGGTGGCCCGCCCACCTTTGTAACCAAGACTACGACATAGCACGTCAGCATTAGTATCCAGCCAGAAAGAGGAACAAACATGTCCCGCCACATTGTAACGTGACACGGAGACCCGACCATAACTCGGTTTCCCTGGCTCGCGTGACTGGAGTGAGATTACCGGGTCTGAAATCAGTTCATGAAACATACGTATATTAGCCAAAAACAAAATATGATATCCGTTCAGTACGTATCGATTATAATCATATACACACTTTTTATAAAATAGTTATAAATAAAGCGTTGTCATCTAACACAATAAAATATGTAAAAGTATCGCATTTAATAGAGGCACATTAAAGACATTCAGTCAAATTATCATGAAGTTAAACGAAGTTATTACAATAGCATATGTGATGATCGATCTGTCATAAGTGTGATACCTTTTGATGTTGATCCATTAAAACAGGAAATGACAGCGTATCCATGATAACTGTTGGGGCAGTTGGCGCCCTTGTTGTAGGGGCAGTCGAAAATTGTTTTCTCGTCACCAGTACAGTTGATACCTGCCCTGATAATCTTGAAGTAAAACTTTCCGTACCCTCCCTGCGGCAGGGCTTTTCCGTCTTCGTATCCAAGCATACCACATGCAACTCTGGCGCTGACGTCATTGAACCCTGCTCCACAGAGGCCAAACCACGACCCATTCTGATAGACCTCTACAAACCCAACTGATTCCGACATCTGACGACCGAGACGAACTAAAGTGAAGATATGGTCAGAATTTGTCTGATTACACAGAAAGTGAAGAATTTGTTATTCGCTTATTATTCCATTACAAAATCCAAACTTAGAATGCATTCTTATTCTACATGTGTAGCTGGCTTACACAAAATGCGATGATGTTTCTTTTTTTTAATTTTTGTCACAGATTAAAACTTTTTTCTTTGAAAAGCCATAACAGTACCCTACTCGCCAACCAAAAGTAATGGACTAGGACGTTTTATTTAAGTAAAATGGTGATATCACTCTCTAAAATGTTCCGAGAGAGACAATGAATTGAATTAATTCGGAGTTATCTCTCTTTACCTGACACTGATCTGAAAGCATTCTACTCACTGTGTCTGTAACACTCGACGCCGACATCTAGCGCATGAGATCGACACTCTGGGTCCGGATCTTCATCCCATCCAGTATTGTTACACATCAGTAGGGATTTCTCCGTACCCTTACAAGTCACCGAGGACATGTAGATCTTGCCCTGGCCCTTCGGGACACTGGCAAGGGTATGTCCATCCGCAAACCCCTGCTGTCTGCACAAAACAGCTGCTTCCTTGTCTGTCCATCCGTCTGTACCGCAAATTGTTCCTACCTTACCATCGTAATTGATGTCCACACGTCCAATGTGTGTGTCCGTGATACTAATTTTAGGCGCTGTAATAGAGTTATTAGTATAATTGCAAGAGGTCATCTATCAGTCTTGGTTACTAGGTGCTTCACAACAAACATCTTTTAGATTTTTGGTTGAAATTGAATAAAAAAGAGATGTAAAATGGAATTTAACATCATTGACCTCGGTGTTTTCCCAGAGTTTATGTTAACCAATAGCAATTACCGCAGCCCTTTATCAGTAAGAACAATTAATTGTATGGAAAAGAATTGCTGGCCAGCGGTGGCTTGTTAATGTCACTCGCCTGAACATACGTCTGTGCGGTTGCCGAATCAGAAAATGATTGAGTTCTGTAGTTGTTACCTGACTGTTTGTAGCAGAGCACGGATGCAGCCTTACAGTTGAACACTGGCGTCCACACACCCTGATCATTTTCGAGACAAGCTTCCAAAGATGTGTCGGTGATTTTACAATTGCGATGCAAATGCCAGCCGATTTTGTCCTCCGTGATGTTGGTCCCGTAAACCACCCCGCCAGCAAAGCCTTGTCGGGTGCAGGCAAGTCCTGCTTCCGTCGGACCCCAGTCATGATAACACACATGACCCCATTCCCCTAGGTGGCGCACTTCTACTCTACCGTAATGGCCGTTCGATATTCTCATATCGAATGCTGAAGAAGAATATTATATTTTGTATTTGCTTTCTCGTTTATCGTTTTAAAATAATTCAAAAATCTTGATATGAATATCAGCTGGAAACAGTGGCTAGAAGGCATCATGATGAAGTTTCCATTTGTCAGTTAAATTAATATCCATGCTATTTGGTAGTTGTGATTATACTTATCTGAAAATAAGCGAATATAGGAGCATGAAAGTACATTATACCCAGACTTGTTTCCTTTTGACATTTGGTACTACCTCTCAATATCGAGCCGCCGATTTAACCATATGCGTAATGTATTTGTTCCTAATCACATTCGTAGCCATGGAAATTTACTTATGAAACATAATATATCTTAGTAAAGTTTAAGACATGAATTCTCGCTCTTAGGATCACAAGTACAATATCTGAGACTTAACAACTTCAAAGTGGTTAGAAACAGAGATCGATTCACATGTTGACTTCGGGAATAAACTTAAATACCAGGATTTATGTTTCTCGAGATGAAGTTCGTTGTAGGTGAGTATAATTCTTTGTTTCGTTGTTACTTCCCCTGATCTTTTTTTGAGAACGTTACATTACATGAAAGATATTTACACAATATGCGTTTTCGACAAAGAAAAGACTCAAAACCCTTTTCCAAATCACTTTGGGTCTTTCTTGAATCCCAATGTATCTATACCATAATTTTAATTTTTAAATTTGTTTTGTTTTATTTTCATTTGATTAGAATCATATTCTATTTACAGGGCCGTACTTTCAAGTAATTGTCGTATTTCTGTTAAGGTATTTTTTGTATGAACGGTGTTTTTGGCTTACTGTTATTAACCATATCCAGCGTTGTGTTATAACAGATCACACCAGCCATGAAGTTATGATGACATGTGGACGATGAGAACTTCCTCCTCTCACAGTCTAACAGTGTTGTTTCGTTCCCTAGACATGTGAAGTTGTAATAAGCTTTCTTGTACAGTATCCAGATCTCATATTCCGGAGAATCCTTGGACACGTTTGATAATGCCTTTCCCGAAGTATATCCGAGTTGTCGGCATACCACTCCAGCGTCCGTATTGTCCCACGACCGATCACTGCATACTTCCGCCCAGCGATGGTCCGAAAAAATCTCCACTGATCCAACGTTATGTTGTAATTTGGCATTGGTCAGTCGAACTGGAACGGTATAAAAAGCATGTTGTTTTGTGACGTAAAATCATATATATACTAAGTATAAGTTCAAAGTGTTATTAAGTTGCCAATGAAATGATTTCTTATGTTTTAAAACCATTCTAAACCAACATTTTAAGCAAAATGTGTCTGCAATTAGATATTTCGTATTGTTTATACATGTTTAGCATTTTAACGGTAAACAATGGTGTAATATAACTTTTATCATATTAACATATTATAATTTATGTATTATTCATGTCCATTCGAATCAAACTCTCACCAAATAAATCAACTTCCTCACAACCAACCTAGACTGTATGGCAGACATCCGAAATTTTTTAAGAATAATGAAAAATTAATTTAGTTGTGTTCCGTATTTTGTGTTTAATTTTCTTCCTTGTGACACAAAAAAAAAATAAAAAAACATGTAAAAGTCAGGAGAAGCTTGTTCACCGGCTTATCACTGATAAATGTATCATTATCCAATATTCCAATGCCACATATGGATAGGAAAGAGGGGAGGAGGTAAATATATTTGTCTCTACATATTATTTATGGTAACCATTTAAGAGCTTCATTACTCGCTCGTCTCCGGCAACTGTGTAACTGTTTAATTACCTACTCTGTATTTATGGTGAGCAATGATATGGTTACCAAATTACTTGTTAACAAATATGTGTAATTACCATAGCACGGTGATCAGTGGCGAAATTATCGAAATTAAACTTTTATATAGATTTATATGTAAATACCTACGTTCAATTTGATAATGTCCAACGATTAACTCGCCTATAAACGATATTTTACGTTACGCATGGTTTGTACAATACAGGTATCTAGTTCAAAATTACGTAAATTAAGATGTCTCGTTATTGTGTTAAGAATAGTCGTTAGTGACAATGCCTTACGCCTGTGATATATCACAACACGTACCTCTGAGCTGAGAGAAAGGTTAATAGTTAGTGAGAGCAATAAGGTAGACCTAAAGTTCGTTTAATTTTATAACCCAATAATAGTCGTAATTGAACCATATAACACACGTTTATAAATATTTAATGTATATTAGTAGGTATAATTACACGACATGAGGTCAAATTGGTGTGATGTATATTACATATGATGTGATGTATAGATGTGGGCGCTGTGTATTCACCGTAATGGAAACTAGGTAACTATATTTAGACTGATCACTGAAATCCACGATAAATTCTTTATATATTTCTTTTCATAATTAAAATTTTATTTATTTATTTATCTTCTTCCCTGTATTTTTTGTATTCATTTTTTCATTTTTGTTTTACACTTTACACATTTTTTTCTGTAGTTTGCATAGATATTTAGTTATTTTGTTAATCTATAAACCAGATCGAATTATGAAACTTATTAATATTTATCAATATGAATAACAAGAAGAGGAGTTTTCTAAGTATATACGTGTAACATGATAATTCCCTATTCACTATGCTAATTAATGAGTGAGTGTGTTGGTGTGTGGATGGGAACATTTTTGTTAAATTGTTCATTCCTATATGTATTATAAGTTGTTTTGAACTGTTGAACTGCAAGGCTCAATCAAATCTACGCGTACACGTGTATAAGCTGCACGTGTAGATGTACAGATCCTGCTTAAATAAGCATAACATTGAAATTGAGTAGTTCATGAATTCAATACCTACGTACAAAGGTGTATGTGTAGTTTTATAGATGTAGAATGAATGTTATTGATAATTTGATAGATATATATATTTGGGCGTGATCAACGCCCCCTTGAATCTGGAGGACAGCACACATGATTTATCAATTGTACAACCGTAATGATCTTGTTTACTCTTGTCCTTATCCTCGCCATTGATAATTATATTCCAAATAACATTTAAGGTCAAATTTTAGAATTTTTGATACTATTTTTGTAACTTATCATGATATTGTTTCATTGTAACGACGTTGTCAACGAAATAGACGCCTTTTAAAAATAGCCAATTTATAGTATAAACGATAATATGCATATCTAATAGATGAATATGCACGAGCGAATAACATATCAGAGTTATTTTATTCGCATGTCACACATGATGAAGTATTTACATTAATTACTTATACGTCACAGCGTATTTACTGCTATTGTATCCAGAAATTAAATATATTTATCAATCAATGAATATGAAAGGAATTTAGTATACAATTTACTTGTGTTAACAAGGTGAGGATGAGTTTAAAAATCGACATGAATCCAAGTGATTGAAGGTTAACGTTTTAGTAATATGAATAGCGATTCATTCCAGCTTCCTATCTTTATCATTGCCCGAGTTTGGAAATTGACTCGTCATTCTGTCTAGTTTTAGATTTATCACAATCTACTTAGACATAAGTTACTGCCGTGCGCCCAACTCCATAGGTAACCTAGTTTTGCCTAGATCAATTTTCAAACCTTCTGAGATTTCCATTAGCCCATCTGTCTCTATTGTAACTTAACGAAGTCTTGCTCAAGTGTATAATTATCAGTGAAGCAAGAGATCTCAGATTTTAATAAATTACTCCGACATAAATTGTTACTCATGTCTTCGAGCTCAACGCTGTATGTTCTACAGCAAGTCTTCATTCTTTTGAAATTTTTGCTTAAATGATATGATCAATCATATAACCTTTATATTCTATATATCTGTTCAAGTGTGTGTGAATTATGAAAATGGACTAGTGCAACCCCTCCCCCTTACAAGATTTTGAAAATTCTCTGATCACTCTAGAATTTTCTCAGTCACCTCCGACGTTTAAGATTTAGACCCTCTACATCCCTGACTAGTCCTGAAAGTACGAAACAGCTGAACTATGCAGTTTAATTCATTGTTTATTTCTACTATGTCTTATCCGAATTTGCATTAAATTAGTGTCCTTTGTACTTGTACTTTTCTGCTTCAAAATGGTTAATTTGATTCCTCTAACTTTAAATATAACTGTATTTTCCTTTAGTGCCCGCCTCTTTACGAAAATCATTAATACAACAAATTCTAAATACCTTTGTCTTCGAAACAGGAGACTCCAGCGTCCTCTTGGTGGTTACAGTTATTCTGACCCCATGGGTTTGTTCGACAGTCAAGGAGTGATTCCTCGGATCCATTGCATATTACCTCGTCCAATACTATCTGTTGATCCGGTTTTCCAGGTCCGAAGTAAGCTAGAGGGTGAGCCATCTGCCACAATATAATACATTATTATCACTTACAACCGCTTTAACACAGTCGAGTAAATCTCATTCATTCAGGTTTTATCAAGTAAAAGTTATCACACAAAATATATTTTAAAAAATATCGAATTTCAACAGCAAAGCTGATATAAGTGTATTGGTTACAGGTAATTGTGTTGATCATAGGGGCCTTGCTTAAGAAAGACAGATTAATAAAGCTTGACAAATATGTGCGTAATTGTATGTAAGACATAAAGTAAGCAGTTAATAAGATGGACATTTAGTCACAGATAAAACATCTCCTTTTTATATTGTAGTCTGAACCGCAGTAAATTTTCAAAAATGTTAGATATGGTGTGCAGGGAAACGGCAAAATATCTCACAAAACTAAACCATAAATTTTACAACTAACATCGACTCGTTCATGCTGGATACTATAATATCATCAGTACTTACACCCCATGATAATCCTAGCTGCCGACACACCACGTCTGCAGCAGCGCCATCCCAGAAGTCATCACATACTGTCCCCCACGTGAGGTTGTCCTTGGAAACTTCCACGCGACCGTTGGTATGGTCGGATCCGTCTCGTAATCTCAAATATAACACTAGAATAGGAAGACAGAGATAATTGCGTACAGAAGACGGACACAGACAATATTACAGTGTATTTAGTAACAACACATTCAACAGAACGAATCATACTTCATGACAAATGATAACATATCATTTATTCATTTATACTCTTCCATGAGTCTCCGTGTAAAGCTTTCCTTTGTTTATATGTTGACCTAGTTTAATTGAATTTGATTTTAGGTTGCGGTTTTCTTGGTAATTCCCCATTGTTTTATTGAGATACATGTATATGACAACAGCCAAAATGGAGTGTGTTATATCTATATTTGATATGTCAAGAGACTTGTAAACTTCTCTTTGCACATACTTCAGAAAAGATACCGATAGACAAAATTGTTTCATATTTGTTACAATGTATATAAAGGTATATTTCCTATTCAGAAACTGAGTGGACAACAAGTGAAGACAGAAAATGAAAAAAAAAAAAATCTTGACAGTTTTCATATAAGACTAAAGGTCATTGTATATGTTGAGTGTGACAAACACTGTGCAACAGAAGACCATTTCAAATTCTGAAGAAGGTTGACGCGGTACCAGACAATACACACTCAGTGAACTTTAGCATGTACCAGATGTCTTGCATTTTCTATCATTACAATACACAACAGAGACTAATCATGACTTTACAGAATTTTACAATGGTACGCATTAGTCGCCTCTATCGACATACAGACATACATGATCCCTGTTCGCACGAGCTACAACCCATTAATTTTGCTCTCGTGTTATTCGTTATTGTGTTATCATTCCATATCATTTTACTGATCAAATTAAGTAAGATGATAACACAGTGTAGCATCCGACCTTAACCTACCAGTTTCGTTATTAACCATTGTGATAATAAAAGGATTGAATATTTGACTCTAAATATATACAAGTGATATGCATACTTGTATGTTTTTTCTCTTTTAATTTATTCCATTTATAACAACAACGTTCCTTTGTCTAAAGAGTGGTGTCGCGTCATAATTATTTTGCGCAACGGTGTAACAGTTTTTGGCATAAAATAAGAAGGGCGAATACATGTTGAGAAAGAATGGCGACTTACAAACTTAAGATACAGGAAAGTCCATACGTTTGGTTTCATATCAGCACAAAATTGAAATAATAGTAATGTAATAAACAGAATAATATAATAGCAATGTAAAAAAAAATATCTCTATGTATTTATCAGTTTAACGCCAACATGGCTCCGCCTATTGTTGATAACTAATGTTCAGGTTCTGTTGGTGTCTCTGCCTCGCATTTAATTTGAAACTATATAATGTGGTTTTGTACGTGATGCAGACAGTGAACACAAGGAAGTAGTCAACACTAGAATATGTATATGTATATATGTTCACTACATGTTGACAGTGTGTAAAATCTAGAACAGTATATTACATGATCCACGTCTATGTTTACCGACCCGAGGCTATCCTTTAATCACTGTAGGATAAAGTTTGATTTGTGCCTTCCGGTAGTTAGAAGATTAGCACAGTTGTATTTTCATGTTATAATGATGGAGTTTTTTTTATTTTTATAACAGAAATTGAATTAAAACTGAACTCAACAAATATACAATGAAATTAGTGCACAGAACTGTCGAAATTGAATGTGATTGTAAAATAAAATCTGATATGAAACTAAAATAAATTTAGGGTACTTTTTATCACATAGCATACAAAAGATTTGACATTCTTTTTTAACTCAAAGTGTGGAGAACAAATATCAAACGAAGGCAGCCATTTTGTTGCAACATATTTAATTCAAGACATAACGACATTGGTCATGTTATGATATCAAAGTCGATTTCTGACTGGCGTAGCCAATTAAATTCGTGCAAGGGTATATTAAAATGATGATATATACGTATAAAAATACAAGGGCGAAGTAACGTGACAACGAACTTATTAAGAGATGAATCGTCATACTTTGGATGATGCCAAATGTAGGTAGCTATTAATTGGAAACATGTTCTCACATTTTTGGTTTTTCCCCCATTGATATCACTTGAGTGTATCATTCAATTTGCAACCTCTAGATAAGTATAATTTAGCAACTCAAAATACCAAGATATGATCGTATTGACCGAAGACCTAGTTCGATGTTGGCATGTTTTTGTCTTGGGTCAATAAACCAATAGATTTACTGAAGTAACTATTGTCATATTTGAATACTAAAATGCGTATACATTCTTTATCGCTTGGTCGTGCTTCACAGACTCTTATCACAATAACATTACCACATCAAGTAATATCTTAATTATGGTTAATATAATCTGCAGATTAATTGGGTGTTGATCTAAATCCGCGTATTTTTTTAATAAGTCTATTTGTTGGATAAAAAGAGATATGTGAAATAGTTGGAAGTGAAGATTATTACTAAATAACACGATCACTATCATTCAATGCATGAACGGGACGACTACAACAGTGTGTGTGTGTGTGTGTGTGTGTGTGAGGGTGTGTGTGTGTGTGAGGGTGAGTGTGTGTGTGTGCGTGTGTGTGTGTGTGTGTGTGTGTGTGTGTGTGTGTGTGTGTGTGTGTGTGTGTGTGTGTGTGTGTGTGTGTGTGTGTGTGTGTGTGTGTGTGTGTGTGTGTGTGTGTGTGTGTGTGTGTGTGTGTGTGTGTGTGAGGGTGTGTGTGTGGGTTGGTGGGTTGGTGTATACTTGTAAACGACAAAGTGTCTCTTTTTCAGGAAAACAGTTTCACTGTCTCAGATTTAGATCTAGTGTGTCAGTGCAAATTTAGTCTTTCTTGGGTATCAGTGATTATATTTAAATAATTAATCCCAATTTCCTGGGTTAGTATATTACGCTGAGTACATGACAGTCCCAGTTTGTTCTTCTGTGGAAACGCGACCTCAACAAGCAATGTAACACAGAACATTACTAGGGTCAGTGATGGGGACAGTATTCTTCTTAATATTCGTACCAAATACATTCTTGACGGTTTCTTACAGAATAATTTACAAGCCAATTAAGATTAAAAACAAAAACCTAGAACATTCATCGCGTCCCTTTCGGACATTGATTGGATTCCACCCCCTGCTGAGCAACAAAGCCTAGGAAGAATCTGAGTCTGGCGTGACAATCGGATCGACTGCGAGAGTAGTGTGGCGGAGGGTTGTTGAGGTGAGGTACACTGACAGAAATACCAACAATCCACGTTTGGAAAGACAGATCAGTATAGCCTTAGACAAGGCCTAAAATTGAATGTAATTAGTAGTGTTTTTAAACATCCGTTGTTGCTAAAGATAACGCCTGTATTCCACCACCTGGGGGACAGTCTAGTGTCTGTACACACACACATCCTATCACACGTTCGTGACCTCGTCAGATCGTACTTGATATAAGCAATGCTTTACTCGACATGAATCATTGTCACAGCATTCCTTGGCATGCAGTGGTGATGTCTAGGAGATTTTTTTACCTCCTCCGCATTACAATGTGGTAAACATCTGCTTTACCTATAGATATTAACATACCGTTTAGAAATACAAAAATGAAGATAAATGATATGGACCAACAGAGTCATAGCCAAAACTCAAATTCAATAAAACTAGGGCAAAATATACAAAACAAAACAAAAAAATACAAAACAAAGGGAACATTTATTCCGAAACTCCTGAAGACATATAAGGAGATAAGATCAGGTTTTATTGATCTAAACAACGTGCACTTCAGTTGATAACATTCCTGAATATGTTGTAAATATATGGAAAGGTATCTAGTACGGAACTACAAATAAAGCTGCGTTGTCCTTCAAGATTATCATCTGTGATGCTTATGATGCACTTGTAAAATCCAGAAAGATTGTTAAGGCAGTAAAATTCAGAGTCAGCAAATGTTTAAAGCTCGGAAGCTGATGAAATCAGTTCGGTTACAATATGTTTTATTTGGTAAAGGTATGAATTCCCAAATTTTCTCCATAATTAAATCATTTTCGTATATCTCATGATATTATTAGAAAGTACATATTGTATACACGTGTATATGCTGATCGATGCCACTTTTCGAATGAATCAAAATGTGGCATGCATCCTACTTCAGAACTTAGATGAATATAAATGATGGCTCGATATTATTCGTTTCACACAGTAAATGACGTTAACGTAACGTTGACCGGTCTTGTTAGCCAACAATATGAAAACATCAAAGTGGTAGGTTTGATAACACTGGAATAAAAATAAAATAGCCGATAGAAAGAAAATACGTTTTAAAAAATATCAATTAATCTTCAAAAGAGGCGTATCAGCCTATGATTGGTCAGTTTTTTTTCACCTGGATCCAATCAAATTACTTCGTTTGTGCTTTAATCCTTTTCATGGCATGTTCCGGGGTTGCAGAGAGCGAAAAGGATCGTAGCCCTGGGGTATCGGGGATGCATAAGGGTGGACGCTTAGACCTTTATTCATGATATTAGATATCAATGTCTAAAGTTCAGAGGCCTCTTACGAATATACAAGGCAGACATTGGATGTCTTTGTTATATCTGATTTGTAGGACACTCTCGTAAACAAAACAACAAAAAATATACTAACATGCCAATCTAAAATCCTATGAAAGTAAAGCCAAATATGAACAAACGAAGAATTTACTCGGCATTTTCTGACAGAAGCAAATGAGCCAAGGTGTTCCTGAAGGGTTTATTGACGATACCGCCATGTATAACCTTAGTTAATCCCTGTAAGTAAGGACTCTTTTCCAAATGAAAACAACATTAAAACCGACGTTCGTTTACTTTTGGTTCAAGGCAAACTCAGTGTCAGGAAGCAAACAATGGGAAGGAGTGTTTCAGAGTTTACAAAAAGGAAACAATGCCAAACGACACCCTAAGTATACATTGGTATTTTCTTGTTGTTTTTCGTTAACTTGAAAAATACATTCAACGTCATAGTTTTGCTACCGGTGATTGGTTTATCAAGCATTTAGGCTATCACACCATGCGTTATATTTTATATACACAAGGGGAGATAATAACACGTTATA